GCGCGTACCCCCACAGTTTCTATTTCTGGTAACAAAAATCATTCAATGTCTCAAACAAAGGGGTAATTTTAGTCATTCTAAGTTTCAACTAGCCTGAAAAAAAATTAAATCTCAGGAGGAACAAAAAAAGACAAGGAGAAAAAGAGCGACTCTACCTGTTTCTCAGCCGATGGCTGGAGCTCTCTTAGCTCAACTGTCGGTCGGGCTTAGCTTCTTACTCTGCTTTCTTCCTTTGGTTATTTGGTTTTTTTCTTTCCTCTGTGGCGTTGGTAGATCACAAATCGGTGGAGCCGGAAGGCTCGGCTCGCTTTTAGATCTTGGGAAGGGGGAGGGTTGAGTAGTTTGCTTGATCTCTAGAATGAAGTGGTGGTTGGTGCTTCTTTCGTTGTTACAGGACAGAACTGGGCTCGTCGCTTTGTTCTCTTGGAGGATGGAGGCGGGTTTGTGGCTCAGATTTCCAACGGAAGGTTTGTTTATAGCGGGTTGTTTTTAGCGGTTATGGGATTAAGAGTGCCTTAGGTCGGATTTAATGGCTTGTGGGACTTGTTGAGTTTTAGGGACGTTTTGAAGATTATTTGAGTGGATTGTGAGCCGAGGATTTTGAGGTTGAGATCGGTGGGTCAATTTCGGGCTTTGGTTTGGTGGTGATCTGGGTTCGTAAGGGAGGCTCGTAGTGAAGGTTGAGGGGTATCTAAAGCGGTGGTGCGCTAGTCTTTGGTCTCACGAGATACGTTTGTGTAGTAGATCCTTCTCTTTTCAGGCCTTGATCTCCTCGCCGGTGATGGTGATCTCTTGCTCTTCGGACGCTTTTCTTCAAAGTTGGGTTCTCGGTATCGTATCTTCTGGTCTTGATTTCGGTCGATTGGTTACTAGTAATTCTCGGTACGCAATATTGAGATGTTTTTGGTTCTTCTCCTTGTTGATATGTGTTCCTATGCATTTGTTGGTTACTCTCTTTTGGTAGTTTTGTTGGAGTCGGCTTTGTTTGCATGAATTTTGGCTTGGTTGTGTTTCAGTTGCGTTGATCTTATGTTGATAGCCTTATGGTTGTTTGAATGGTTGATTGGCGGTTGCTTCAGAACCTGTTTTTGTCTCTGGCGACTCAATGGTTAGGCTTCAAGATTGATTGAATAGAGGTGGTTAGTGGTGGATTTGTGAATGGCTCTATATATGTTGGTTGATGCTTTGGTCCTATTCATTGGTTAAGGTCTTCGTGTTGAGACAAGGGTCAGTTGTTCATGTCTTTGGATTTGTTGGCTTTGTGTCTTTGATACACAAGTTCTCGGCTTCACTATTCGCATTTCCGATGGCTCGTTTTTTAATCTTATAAAAGGATCTTTGGTTGGAGATTGGGGAGTGTTACGGTGGTTGGAGGAGTCTTCTTGGACGTAGGTTTCGCTTCCACCCCTTGGTTTTGTGGTCGTTTCAAGCCTGACTAGTTTTGTTTCGGTGGGGATTTTAGTTTGGGATGGAGAGTTGGAGTACGTGGAATCGGTAGTACCCAATACATTGGACTTCGGGGGCCTCTTGAGGGTGCGGCATAGCTGCTCTCGCTACGGTCCCGTGCTTGTCTTCAGCGCTAGTCCCAGGTTTGTCTTTTCCCGTTATGGTGGTGATTTGTATGGTTAGTGGTCTCGCAAGCTTGGTCGCTTGTTGTGATTGTGGTGGAGAGGTTTTTGCTTCAAATTACCTGTATGGTTTATTCCCTGCATGCCTTGTCGTGCCTTTTTAGTTTCTCCTTTGGCCTTTCTTCTCCGTTTATGAAGTTGTCGAGAATGTAGCAGTGGTCCTCTTTGGCTTGGGTTTGCGAATCTGGAAGCTCGTGGTTATTGGTTTAGGTTTGCCTATGCTTTGGTTTCTGATCTCTGTTGATGACTTGATTTTGAAGAGATTGATTACGAGGCAGTGCTACCTTGCCCAGCATGTTGATGTTGGTTCATTTCTATAAGTTTTGTTTCAAGTTTTATCAACTTATTGCGTTTGTTCGGATTTTCTTTGTCTAAAGATCAATCACGGCTGGCCTTGACGATATGATCTTCATTAACCTAGATTCGATTTGGATTTTGAGTGACCATTCCCTGGTGTTAAGTCTTTGTTTTGTTTAGTATAAGTGGTAAGTCTCTGGAAGACGAGTTCTTGACGGTAATGTATTACATAAATGTATTTTACCCATGTATTAGACCAATGTATTCTACACTCTTTCGAGATTTTATTAAATGAAGTTTTAGATGTCGGAAAAAAAAGTTCCAACTGGCCTCTTTGCAAGGGTAGTTTCGTCTTTATCATTCATAACGTAAAACGACCGGCCTTGCACTTTCACGAAAACAGCTTGCGCCGCCAAGACAAAACATAACCACTACACTAGCTTCGGACTTCTCACGCACAAACATATTTATGTTTTACTTTTTCAAATTTCTTTATATTAATTGATGAATGGATCTTTACTGACTAACATTAATTAAATAGTAAATACATTGATGGATTGAATGATATCTAACTGATGGACTAATCTAAGTAAGATAAATCATAGAAAACTTGATATTGTAAATCAAGGGTAATGATGTTA